GTAATGATGAAGACTAGTGAGTAGGTAGGAATAAGCCTGGGGAGAGAAAGCGAAGGAAGACTAGATGTGATTGGAAAAGTAGAAAATAAACTCGGAACCCTTTTTTTTTGAAACGAAGAGCTAACGATTGTGTTGCGACGCTTGATGGATGAAGACGAGTGTAAATTGTAGGACAAAACACAACGCCTTATGTCCAGCTTATATACGTATTCAAGAACCAATGTTCTCTCTATGCGCAGTGCTATTTTACTGTGTGCCATTATCAGGCTATTCATGTGAATGTCCGCATATAATTATCACACCGCAAAAAGACTTCGCATGTAATTATGGCACCTAGAAATATTCCCTAGATTGACTTTCGAATACGGAATAAGCAGTGACAATCTTATAAGGCATAACTTAGAATAAGATATGAGCGATAGCACCTTATTTCAGATTACGAAATAAGGAGCCTCACAGGAGCACGCCTGGAGCGTTTCTTTCACCGCGATGTTAGCTGCTCCACCTGGACAAGGAACTGAGCACTGATGGAGACAGTTGTGTTGTCAAATTGTTATATCTTTCACTGAGGTGACCATTTGTTGCGCACCATGAAATCTGGTTTTCAGGAGAAACGACGTTGGCCGTAACTTCTCCTTTACTTCTTTTTAGGATAACAGCTTACAAGGAAGGTCTTTCAGGGTGTGCCAAGCTTTTTCAAAACGGTCTTTTGCATGATATAGGGGCACATGCGGGAACCACAGAACCATGGTTAATTTTTCCTGAACGGCCCTCTGAATACCAGAAAAGGGGGTCCCTAGTCACACCTTTTCACCAGTTTTTCAATCAAAGTCTATTTGTAAGGGTTACTGACGGTCCTAATCATGAATTTGGTACTAATTATTCATGCTAACTCCATTTTGCGCGAAACGTCAACTCGAAATGCAAAAATTTGTCACCACGAGGAATCGAACTAGGGACCCCTTTTCTGGTATTCAGAGGGCCGTTCAGGAAAAATGAACCATGCTTCTGTGGTCCCCATATGTGCCCCAATGTCATGCAAGAAACCATTTTGAAAAAGCTTGGCACACCCTGAACGACCTCCCTTGTTAGTTCCGCACCCAACTCACGGCAATCACCATGTTTGGGCGTCAAGTGAACTGGACGACAGCCAAAACTGGTAAGGCTGGTGTCAGAGTCCGCGATCCGTCGCAGGTTTCGCTGATTTTCGCGATTTTCGCGATTCACGCGATTCACGCGACGGGTCACGGAAATCACAAGTGCCCGATCAATACTGCAAGGTGTTCTCCAATCCTGCCGCCACTTCTGCTTGATAGTGATGGCTGAATGACGACTGCTCATGATTCCACTTGTTTCATATTCAGTGTTTCAAATGTTCAAATGGGGCACCTGCAATTTTTGCGATCCGTCGCAGGTTTGCAGGTTTCGCGTAAAAATCGCGAAAACCAGACGGCAAATCTCCGAAATTAGCGAACCGCCCAGATCGCGGACTCTGACACCAGTCTTAGGTAACATGGCCGAGGAATCAATAGCAATATGCTTGGAACACCAACGGTTCAGATCCAGATAGTTCAGCTACTATATGGTTGTGTGAGAGCAATAACGATATTATCCCCCTAATCACCCAAATGCATCACAGTTGACGACTGACATAATTGATCCATCACATAATGTAAGAAGTAATATTTATATTTATTATGAATACTAGATTACTCATCACATATACATCGATCACATTTACAAATAAAGCTGCTGTATGGACAGCATGAAAGATTTGAGTTTTCCACCGTTGAACCGGTTACTACAGTGTTCAATGCAGAGATCGCTTTAGCCATGGCGATAGTTCCAGCTTGCATGTCATGAATTTGACAGTATTCTCTGATCAGAGGTGGTCCAAGCATCCAAGCTGGAATAGAGCACACCCAAAACCCCGGTTGACGGGAAGAAAGCAAACATACAGAGTCCAATTCCTGCCTGCAATGAATCCGTATCACCTCAAGCTCGCACCACCTTTTCTGAAGTATTGATTACCGAAATTCGGTAGTTCTGCGCCGAGATACTGTAGGTGTTGCCATTAATACCGAATTCGATGTCAGGATGGTCACCATTGCAATCAATGAAATAGGAGCCCAGAGATTCGATCCATTTAGCTCCAACTCTGGAAATTGGAATTAGAAGAGATGAGATTTCAATGACGAGATATGGGGTAAGGGCAGTTCCAAGAAGTTCTACATCAGTTAATTATGTTTGTGTCCAGTAAATCTTTCAACTAAAAACCGTCGGAATGTCGAAATCATTGCCGACATCTGGGACGACCAAAATCAAAGTTAGGTTCAATCAAAGCGCGGAATTTACGATGAAAAGATAGTCCATTAGAAATTAAGGTAGAGGTAATCAGTGGTGCAGGGATGAAGAAAAAAATCATGAGAAACGGCCCTGAACCCAAGAAATGGAAACCCTCTTTGCCCGTTGATTTCTCGCACTGGTGCGACTCTCATCGATGTCGCCCTCTTCAGCGACAACGCCTCTCTTCTGCCAAAGCGGCTAGAGCGACGGCGGAGAGCGTGGCGTGTAACGGCGTGAGCGGCGCGGGTACGGTCATGCTAGGCCAGTGCGGCACAGCTTCTGTAAGACACGCATCGTCCCGCACCCCTCTTGGGGGGGGGGTGCTTGCTCTCCGACTAAGAAAAATTCCCTCTGGACCTCCTGCGACCGTCGTCATGGAACTCTTTAAAATGGTCCCCTAGATGGCGACCCCGTTTGCCGCTGTATCGGTTGACATCGGAGCGGCAGTGGTGTCATGTTAGTGAGCCGCGAGCGCAAGAAACGTCGGAGGATCATCTACCCAATTCTCAGTCCAGATTTCCATCACTACAAAATCCCTCACACGAAATCCCATAAAGAAACCAGTGGCACTAGAATAGACTAACCCCCTAAATTTGCTGTATAGGCCAAAGATGCATTCAAATGAAACTTAAAACTTGAAAAATATAAGAATGCACGGCGCGGTCCGAGCTTTAAGTAGTTAGGCGTGTTTTCTTATTAGAGGCTCACTTGGAATCTTTAACTTTTTCAGGGGAAATGTGACGTAAACTCACTGCTTCGCAATGTTGTCTACTATGGCCTTTGGTCCGCCGATGAACGTGGACGCAGTGTCGGAGATTGCTTGCCAGCCGGTGCCGGGGGCTGCTGTGTATGATCCAACGGAGACGCTGAAACACAGTAATAACTCCGGCGTAAGCTATATACGTAAGCAGTTACAGCATGGGAGGTTAGAACTAACGATAGCTGTAATTGTAGAAAATTTCTCATAACCTTGACATTTTGAACTGCCAGAAAGTCTTGGATGTCAACGGAATGGTGTCGTATGTGGCCGAGCAGTGATCGGGATCAAGACCACCAACGGTCAGTTGTCCACCATCTACAGCAGAGTGAGTGCCAAGATGTCGCATATACACGACAAAGTACGGCTATAATTCAGTGATTCGTGCATCAGTCAATTTTGCCTTTTGAGGTAGCATATCGCGCTCAAATGAATATGCAAGCAGTTGGGCGCGGCAAATTAGCGTCTACTAATGGAAAACACACTGGGGCGTGCCTGAAACGGGCCCATTGGTGGATGGCCGCAGACTTTACCTACAACCACGGTCAACCAGCCGTTGTACCAAGCCCTACGAGGGCAGTCATATTTGGGATCAAAAGGAGCATTGGCGATGAAAGTTTGAGGTCATGTTCGAATGGGGGGAGGAGGTCACCGAACAACAGATTTCAAAATTAATCATACTAATATATGCATGAAATGGGTGAAATTATCAGTTGGGCGGAGTTGGAGTGTGACACTTGGTCCATGATTCATACATGAGCCATAGCAACAGTCATGATGATGAGGGGGTAATGGAGCGGGGAGGAAAGAGCCGGATGAAAGGGGACCCTCCAAAGCTGCTGGCGATAAGTGTCGAGACCCCGTTAAGGGGTGGGTTGGAGTAATTTCACGGCTACCACGACAGAGGTGTTAACGCCTGGCGTTCATTGAGTTCAGTCGCGAACAGCTTCAAGGTATGGAGCTTACCTGATCGAGTTGCCCCTGATTGAGCAGGTTGAACATCGGAGGTGTGATGGCTTGGTATGCCAGCGCCGGCCATCCTAGACCAAGCATACCGTCTTCGGGTTGCTTGTCGAACGCCTCAGCCATCTGCGTTACTTGTCCAAAGATTTGATTGTCTGCACAAAGTGTAGAGTTGAAGAGCTAAAATATAAAGGATAAAAGCATTTGGCATGGATCAGTCGTTTATGGGATGCGCCATGCGTTCGTATTTCACTTCAGAATTGTAGAGGCGTTTTGGAAGGGAAGTTCTATAGATAGTAAACTGCGAGAGCTTGGCAATGTGTTTACCCTCCCAGACGAGTGCGATACCAATCAACCGACCTCAAACTTATGGTGAGCTTGGTCGAAGCGGCGGGGCAGGACCTAAGGATTCAATCCTCGGACATGTGCTTTATAAGTGACGAACCAATTGCCACTACACCACCTTCAGATATAGTAATATGGGGGTGATGTTCTTGCCGTAAACGATGTATGTCTATCAAGTCACTCTTCCTTTTTGAGTTCTCTTATTTCTTAGGTGAGAGGTGACACGATGAAGAAGACTTACGCAGAAAGTGTCCAATCCTAGAAACCCACTGACATCGCCAGTTTGGTAACTCATCGCGAAGGAACCTGGAAAATTGTGAAATCTTTCAATGTCCGGATTCCCTTTAGCTAGCAGAAAATATTTACTCAAGAACCAATTAAGATTTTTTCATCTTACCTGGCTGTCTTTGGTATGTGCTCGACAATGTTTGATTGAAGCTGTGTTTCGTAGTACAGGCGTTCTTTGTCCTGCAAAACAGTATTTTTTTGAATTACCATACCTCAATGGGAGAGACTTCTTGAAGGCAAGATTCGGGATAAATAGGTGTCGAAAAGCGTCCAGTTTGAAGATAGAGGGTGCGAGAAGTAAACGAAAAGTACGATTAGTACTAGCAGCAGACTCCCCCTATTTCAGTCTAGTTGCCTTTGGGATAGAAGTGCTCCTAGTCTCGGAGCGTGCCTTTAGTTTATGGGTACAGCTTCTCATCTCCAGTTCGCGCCAGTTCGGCTTCACACCTTCACACCACCAAATTTGCTAAAAATTCAAGTGTGGTGGCCATTTATCTTATCAGCTTTTTTACGTAGAATTTGGAGTCAATTTAAAGCCACGAGTCAGGATTAGGTGACCATAGAAGGCCTTTCCATCACTAATATTTCCAGGAATGCGCTCAGAGGGGTGATGCCACACTCCTGACTCGAGATTGCGCGCCGTCAAGGTTTCTGGCCTACAACTTATAGCGATGGGTTTGTTACATCAGCTGGTCCCGCCCACCGCGGGATGTGGTGCGTGGCTGGCCTAACGTGTGAGATCAGCTAGGTTGATTGCCGTATCAACCGATGGAACGGCTGGCATATCCGGAAAACTCGTTTGGACGTGGCTCTCCCCCGAGCAAGCCTCCTTCACTGCTGGAAAGGAAGGGGTTTCGATTTAGGCCTTGTCGACGGTTTCTTTGCGTTTTTTCTTCACTGTCGTTCCACCTCCCATCTCTACACTCAATTTCAGGCGCCATAATGCCCAAACACGAGCCTGACTTTTGCCTTTAAAATTTGGAACAACATTACCGCGCCAGTCTCGTCGCCACTCCAGCGCCAATGTCAAGACGCAAATGTCGTTTGTGATCAGGGTATTGAATTACCCCTCTAACGAAGCATCAGGGAAAAAAGTCCCGCTCATTCTGGGATTGTATTTTGGAGGCGCCCGATATTTTTTAATAATGCGGTAGTGCCGAAAATTTAGCATGGATTATAGTACTATAGCAGAAATTATAGCTATAAACCACAAATCAAATATGGGTGGTGCTCTCGCGCGCGTACCCGGGCTTGGTAGATACACAGTGTATGAGAGTCCAGTATTACTCGGAGTAGGTAGCTCCTATGAAACTAGCCAATAAAAAGCGCACCTCTCCCCGTTTCATCACTATGGCTCCAGATTCAAAAATGGTCTACATATTTGGAATCAGCGTCGAAAATCTCTATGTAAGCGATGTACATTTCGTACGGTAAGCTTTAATCTTGATTTTTATTTGATCTTGGGTTTCAATGATCGGATATGTTTGCAGTAAGTTCGTTTTGATCTACGCTCGATCATTGCCGCCAACCCCTCTTATGGCAGTCTACGTTCTCCACAATGTCCAAAGTCTCTCCACTTTTTAACGATCCTCGATTGTCCGGGGCGGGATGCGTCTTCTTTCGACCCCGGTATCCGACGGTAGATCAAGGCGGCAACCGTATGCGCAGTAGTGTAATGGTGATGATCAAGGTAAGTCTGCTTCAAGGTCCATAATTAGAAATTATAGCTATAAAGCACAAATCAAATATGGGTGACGGGTGCTCTTGCGCGCGTACCCGGGCTTGGTAAATACACAGTGTATGAGAGTCCAGTATTACTCGGAGTCGGTCAGCTCCTATGGAACTAGCCAATAAAAAAGCGTCACTTCCATGCCGTTACCATCACTGATGGCTCCAACCGAATTCAAACACATGGTCTACCATATCTGGAATCAGCGTCGAAAAGCATCTATCTAACGATGTACATTTCCGTACGGTAAGCTTAACCAATCTTGATCTTATTTGATCATGGGTTTCAAAAGATAAGGAATATATGTTCGCAGTACCCGTTCCGTTTTTTGATCACGCTCGATCATTGACCGCCAAACCCACCCGTCATGACAGTCCTATCGTTCTCGCAACAATGTCCAAAGTCTCATCCGCTTTCGCCACCCCATCGATTTCGCGGGGGCGTACTTTTTTTTCCGAACGCGCTCCGGTATTCGACGATCGATCAACGGCGGCAACCGTATGCGCAGTTGTGTAATGGTGATGATCAAGGTGAAAGTCTGCTTTCAAGGTCCATAATTAGAAATGTATATGGTTCTGTAGCGTTCGCAAAGCTGAAATCGGCGCAATGTGGCTCGGGGGGGGGCAGTCGCCGCGCGCGCCGTTGCGGCAACAGGAAATTCGTGAGCCAGGGGGAATGTAGCCAATTCAGGGGGGTTGGCGGGTGAGGGCAGTCACTTGACATGGTGAGAAGCTGGAATGTTCGAGTTACACAACATCGCTGAGCCGCGCGCGGCGACTGCCCCCCCCCCCAGCCACACAGCGCGCCTGAAATCAAATACGGATTTTCCATTCCGAATCAGCGATTTTGTAAGAAGTAGTTCAGGGCAGCACACACAGCGCAATGGTATGAATACTACGGTGAATCGATCAATACGAGCGGTTTCGTTCAAAGCAAGGCTTTTCGAAGACGTGGAAAAAAGCGACCTTGTTTCTTTAAAACTTCACTTATAGTTCACTTCACTTGAAGCTTCATCCAATGCCCTGATCATGCATTAAAATGACATTCAATGACATTACAGTTGCTTGTGACGCTAGCGTCACTTGGGCCACAGATTGAAACCAAATTGCATCGGACCAGGGTAAAAACAGGTGTCATATTCTGCATCAGGGCACCAAATAACCATCACATGAAAGTTTATAGCGAATTTGTGGGGAAAGGTGTGGCGTAAACTGGCGCCAAATGGCGTCAACTTCAGTGAAACTTACGCGAGAACATCACCGGAATGTTTACAGCAGTCAGTTGGCAGAATTTCAAACACGTTTCCATAGGTGTCTGAAAGAACATCGAAATAATTATTGAATCAAACCATGAAGTGAACCCATGAAAAATTCAATTTTGTTTAGTTTACTTACGTCTTACTGACCTAATCAACTTAACTATGGGGATTAAGTCACAATGCCTTTTTGGCTTTACGATATCTATTGACAAGTGTACAGCTATACTTAAGGCCGTACCCACAGCCTGCTAGGGCCCTCTCGCGACGCTACACTGCCCAGTCGGCTGAGGGACGAGAGGGGGTTGCGCTGTAGGTCCCGCCAATGACCGACGGGTTCTCCAGCCAAACCCTGGTCCATGGACTCTTTGAGCTTGTTCCTTCAAAAAACGTCAATGTGCTGCTCCGTCAGCGCTACCCTGCCTAGATAGAGTTCAATGGCCTTGCTCCATCTTTTGCCTCATGTCAAGTGGCTTACCTAGCCTCACCCCTGGTCTCTTGCGTCCCGCTGATTTAGGGATTCTCTTACTGACAGTGGTTGAAGCTGAAGCTGGCTACGCTCTAGCCTCTGGTGACAGAAAACATGGAAGAAAGTTCAAGTTTGTGTAGTCAGAATTTTTCACGAAATTGGGGAGCGTAAATATCTTAACCTTTTTTATCAGAAGTGTGCCCTCCACCCTACGGCAGTTTTAGACTTTCGAAGTCGAATTGAGCCCACATGAGCCAGGTTCAGAGGCTCCACCACCAACACGACGTGTCGACATCATCAATTATTGTAAGAGGAGGGTTGTGTTGGAGAACCCTCCCCATGGGAGGGACTATCCGAGTTCAAAACTTGCTTTTGAAACTTGAATAGCTACGTTTAAACAGGAGCAGCGGTGCTGAATATGTCGTGTGACTAACGTTTCCATAATGTTAAAGGCACAACCCAGGCAAAGGTCGTGTGAACGCTTCTCTTTGGTCTGTGGTATAGATCCCTAGAGGACAATCACAATGTGGCGTTCTCGTGCACGGAAACCGACCGATAAGAGCGCTTGGGCCTTGCAAAGTAAGCTGCCCAAGCTGCAGACTTTTTTTTCTCATCAGGCTGTTGTCTGGCGCTCTCTCATCTGTAGCGCTCTCTCGCCCCATACTCTCCTCTTCGCGCTTAGTCTCTCGTTCCTTTAGCACAGCCAATTAGGAAGGTGAGTGAGCCCTCAACCTGAGCGTTTTCGACGGATTCTTTTCCTTTTTTCTTCACTGCCGGCCCACTTGGCACCGATACATTCACATTCGTGTGCAAGAGCCACACCAGTGCGATCCTGGGGCATGCCTTTAATGATATACTTTCAAAATCAAGATACCTGCTCACAGTAGGTACCACATGTCGATGACTGTCCTTCGGAGCAGGTTGAATCCGGTACCCAAAGGTTTGACGATCCCGAGTCGAGGAACACGACAAATGTCTGCGGTGGAGTGCCAAGTGTGATTTCAACTGAATTACATATTTTTGTATTGTACCTGTAATCAAATAAAACACAGATGAACCAATTCTCAATTTAGTCTTCTAGGAAACTTCATCTAGGAATCCTATAATTTCTACTTGAAAGTACATCCCGGGATCCAATTGATGTGGGAATTTAGAAAAAATAGGTAAATAAAGGTGTGAAATAGTGCGACAAGAAAAAAGAAGAAACCACCGGAAGCCCAAAAATAGAGTAACTTTTTTCTAGGAGTGGACTTTTCTGAAAGACAGTGAGCTATGAGACACTGAGCGTCGCAGCGGAAAAGATTCAGTGACGGACAATGCATGGGTAAGTTCGAGGGGCGGAATCGACCAATTAACCATTCCAATAACGACTGGATGATGCTCGTGTGCATCTGATGCCCTGTGCGTCCTTTGTCAGGTAAACTTGGAGCCGCTAGCCACTACGATCTCTATGCTTGACCCTCCATTTTTCTAGCGCCAGGGCTTCACTCTAACCGGGGTTGGTCCAGAATGACTGGTGGCGAATGGAGTAGTTTTTAACTGGAAATTCCAGATGCAGTACCCCACTGTGAGTACGGTCTCACGTTACGGTGTTATTTTATACTTATAGATATGCGCCGACCATAATTATCTGTTTTTAAGAAGAAGTCATGGTCAAATCGATTCAACTACCATCCTCCTTTAGTCGATTACTACGACTAAGTCTTTTTTCTGCCAGGAGAGAAGCATCGAGTGACAGAAGCCGGTCTTCAGAGAATGCGGTGTAGGCAGAAAACGCATCGAAAGAAGCCACAATGCTTTGGGTATCGGTTCCATTATTCCATTTCCTCGATACGACCTATTCACCACCAGACCCACAGCTCACTCACGGGAGACCCCTATAAACGATCCCCCCAGCCCCCCCTCCTCCCCTGAGATCGTCCTCGTCATTCACCAATGGATGTTTTATAGTATTGATTTAAATTGAAAATCGACACAAGTCAAACCTTTGCCAAGCTTGTCCTCCTTGCCCCCCCCTCCCTGGAGAAATGGCCGACTGAGTGAATATAATCATGAATGTCAAAGAAATGACAAATCTCTAATAAGAACTCATTCTCGACTAGTTCACGTGTTACTTTGGCATACTCATAACTTCAATGCCCCTCTACCACCACAGTCCATCTGAGTTCCAGAGGTACGACTCCCCTTTTCCAAGCTTTTTACCTTTGCCTACCCCAATGCGACCCTCCCCCTCCTTGGGAGCTATGCAACGCATATATTGTTGGCCTGCTAGAGCCTTGATGCACGGTTAACGCTTCATTTGCTACCATTCTAAAACTCACCCATGTAAGCCATATCGTCATAGTCGATGACAGGAGTAGAAGCAACATCAAGATGGGAAATCTTGTCCATTCTGGAGGCCTTCTGTTTGAGGTGCTGCTCTAATTTTCCTTTCCGCGTGAAGCTCAATTTTGCCGGGCGACAGGAGTGGTACGCTGTAAACACTCAAATTCTTTCACCTCTATGATACGCGTGGCGATAACATTATGCTCAGGTGCGGGTTCGATTCCCGTCTGGGACCAAAGGTTTTGCCGATAGCCTAAGTTCTTGCTATAACTGTGCTCATTGCAGAATCTTTCCATAGTGGATATTTCACGGACTTTGTTCTCATACTAAATACTGTTTCCATGCTAAATACTGTTTCTATACTCTACTGGAACACGTGGAGCATCACAGCCTAATGCCATACAAGTTCAATCCTTTTTCAGCGAAGGGGCCATTGAAATATTGTGCAACGGGCCGCTAGTGCAGTCCGTGCTTTGCGGCTGTCGCTGAACATAGACTATCACAAAGAACCGCCGAAAACGCCGAGATAACATTGCTCAATTTTAGCACGTTATTTTGAGCACTGTAAGATTCACCGCGAAGAAGCCCTATGCATCGAAACAAGGGATCAGGTGGCGAGGGGAGGTGAGCATGAGACAAGTGGGATGCAAGCACCATCGCTGACATCTCTCTTTCAAGGAGGAGTCACGTGGAGAAGAATGAGGCTCAGCTCCTTTGCCGCAATCTTTCAGGCCGCAGAGTGGGCACAATCTCGGGCTTGAAGACACATCCACCTCACCTGAGTAGGGAATTCTTCCAGTCAGGTAATATAGGCACTTGTAATAGGTTTGAACACCCTCTGAACATATAAAGAACCTTAGCAAAACTACTTACTTCAGCCCAAGTCTGTGTACAGCAGATTGTGCCAACGAGCACATAGCCACAAGTAAGATGGCCGCAGAGATTGCCTTCATTGTCACTGGACCCTATAAGTGATATTTTGAAAGCACAGTTATAGGTAGAACTATTGATCCGTTTTTGGATATTGTAAGGTGATAAATAGCAAAAAGAAGAAAGGAACAGAAACAGAAACTCAAGAATCGCCTTCGGTTCACCTATAGTACATAGTTTTTCGCCACAAAAACGTCAAGGGAAAATTTGGCGCTGCTTCCACTAGTAGTGCTTCCTCTGGTGTCAAGAGATCTACATGTGAGAGGAAACCGAGTTAATCTAATCGTAGCGGAACTTTCGAACATCGAGAGAGGTGAGCTTAACTTCATTGGCCACCGTAATCATTCTTACAAAATATTATTGGTAAGCTTACCATGATATACTAAATATTGTTTGTTCCCTCTTTTAGAGGAAGCTTATTTCTCCTTCCCTCCTAGACAAAACAATTGCATGAAAGGCTCACTTCGCAGTTTTGGGTCATTGCACTAAAAAATGTAGTCGTGGTGACTGTTGGTCCACTGTTAATGAAAAGGAACTAAAAATAGCTAGGAGCCTAAAAGTACCTTGATCGCTGATTCCCTGGGCTAGGTTTGCGCGACAGCCTCATCTCTTAGGCCTCTTGCTCTTATTTTTGCTTCTTCTCATTAACTTCATCACAACTTCGTTCATTTTTGAAAGCTTTGAAGGAGCACGATGGCTAGAGGGTAAGACGCTATTGTATGAACGTCAATGGGCGATTGTTGGGAGAACTTGAGAGTGGTCCCAACCTGCACCCTCCCGCGGCTGAGCGAATGTCTGTCACCAAAGCGTTCACTGGCGACATGAAAACTGCCCCACTCTCCAGCCATTGTGTTCACTGCCTTTAAGCCACATTTTTTCAATCGTGGCATTCCTTTGAGCAAGCAAGAACTTGGAAGAAAGTGATGGAATGATAATATGTACTTTTGCGCTCATCAAAGTCAGTGGGTTTATTAACTGACGTCATTTACAATGCGAAGCCAAGACCTGTGAACATTTCTATGTGGCTCTAAAGCTTCGAGACAGTGCTGTGGACCACCTTTCCATTTTTCAAGAAGAGTAATTCCAAAAAGTTCTCGCATACCAAAAGAACCCGGAACGTAGAAATGACGCTGGATCTGGTTTTTCTATGCCATTTTCTGAACAATAGTCAAATGGATCACTTGAGGTTCTTTGTGAAAATAAGGTACAACGTTTATTCAAGTTCTATTTAGTCCCTATACGAAGTTATTACGTTTAATATAATACAGGGGTGGCCAAAAAAAAGAGACACTTCACTCAACATTCAAAACGGAATTATTTACGCGTCGCGAAACCAAACCAAATGACCCCAACTGAATATTGAAGAGCACGTTATAATCTATCAACAAGCTACACAACAGCCTTCTACACCGACGACATCAGAAGATTTTCCCACGGAAGCATTGTGCACGGTACGAGCTCAACGAGGTCGTCGAGATACCATAGACGATTACGACGTCTCTGAAACGCTGGTCAAAAGCCATTTTGCATAGTCAGAGCTAGTGTCTCTAAGAAGCCATTCACCAGTTATCCGATTGAAGAAATTATGTAGCAGCTTCAGAATGGAGCGATTATGGTAGGCCTCCTTGAGCTCGACGGTGATGACAGATGACGTCATATTCTGAAGACGGCGGGGGCAGTGAAGGAGGGCCTGCTTCTGTTTACGGGGGAACACCTAAGGAATATTCGCCGTAAAACTTTCATTAACATCGGCTCCCTGTGCGACGAAAAGTTCGATGATGTGCGCCATGGGCTAAGTGTCTCTTTTTTTTGGCCACCCCTGTATGTTAAAAGTTCAACGTGATGAAACCAAGTTTTTCAGGTACCAGCCCTGATCCACAACTACGTGCTGTTAGGAAAGAGCAGAAAAAATGCTTGGCATAGTCTAGCCCGTCCAGTGCGCCTTTTATAGGAAACCCGAGTTCGCGTAATACAGATAAGACGCGATTGCGAGTACGCGACAGATGACGAAATTCTGATGCTTCCCGGTCTAGAACTATGAACTTGGCGCTCGCCAGACAGAATTCGCTTACGGAATGCCTCGCCAGACAGAATTCGCTTACGGAGTGCTTTTTTGATAGGCGCTCCCACCAATTTTTTTTGCAAATTTTTAACCTAATATGCGGGTTTTCTGAGAGGAACCAATGTACCAGAAGCGTTCGTTTTTAAGTTTGAATGAGGAATTAACACTTTTTCACGCAGGTGATGCTTTGAGAACTTCGTGACCATGGAAGTGCCACTGCTCAACATACACACGTTACTTGTAGCTGGGTTTACACAATCCGTGCATTTCGCGCTCACAAAATTTGGCGCACCAAGAAAAACGCTGGTTAAACTCCCTTCGTTTGCCATCAGTTTTAATGTGTCCCATTCTATGGAATTCAAGGAACCGAGGTAGTCACTGACTGTAAAAAGTCTGGAAGTCAAGTTAAAGAACATTTGGCGCAATTCTATCGGTCAGTGCGGGATGGGATCGCTTCACAAGTGCGAGAAAAAATCTGGAAGGAATCCAAAATGGACTGTTGCAATAAAAAGAGCGCAGATTGCCCTTTTGAATTCCTTCAATTGAATGCGTTCTCATGTACCTGTAATCACCAGACATCAAGATTTATGCTCTCAATTCCAATCTGCGGTCAAATGCGACTCGGCTCTCCCAATCCTGAAATTTCACCGAAAAATCTGAACCGAAGGTTTTTACCGTACTTCTTCAGAGATTGGCGGTCACTGCGTGCCCTTGACGAATTCCATAAAAGCTTTTGCGAAGGGGAAATAACAAGCAATGATTTCATCATATGTATGAGCCGAAAATCAAATTTTGAACCGAGTTTTTGTTTGTTAACTGCTGTTTTTGGCCGCAGTTCGCCTTGCGATATCGGCTAACCGGCTCAACACGTTATACGTGTGAGTGCTGACAAGCTATGGTAAGTATACCATGAAGCTGAGTTGGAATGAAATGGTGCCCCGGTAGCGTAACTGGTAGCGCACTTGCCCGGAAAGCGAGAGGTGCGGGTTCTAGTCCCGCCTGGGGCGAAAGTTTTGTTCACAACCCAGCATTCTTGTGAAACATTGAACCAACTCTTGTTGAAGTGAACGAAGCCTCCCATGCCTTCTGAGTTGGTATGGCGGTGGTGGATTCGATGGGATAACATGACTTCCCCATCTGATCTAAACGACACTTGGAGCCCACGATAATAGGAGAACGGATCGAATGCACGCGCACCGTAGAAATAGGTCCACTACAAGGCTTAAATGGCTGCGTGGCTTGAATTTTCAATAAAAAACTCACAAGCTCTTCTACTCTCTATTCCTGCAATATTTTTCTGAGAAACGTCGTCCGACTTAGCAAGATTGCTCACTCAGAGATTAAAATTACACATGTAATGGAGAGCTACAACGGAAGTGAATCATATGGTTTGTTACATGGAAGCATTACCTAGCTGCCTAGACAGCCACCTAATGAGCGTGTGGCAAATTGCCAAAACACCTGTAACCAATATTTTTTCTCTTCTCGCTTTCGCGACAGACTTGCTGCGTTTCCTGCTGACTCCATTTTCACCGACTTTGATGTATCTCGAGTGGAAGTTGCTCTACTAGACAGTAGTCGTAGCAGACAGACCTTAACAATATCCCTAACTCTGAGGCTCACCTCGGTGGTAATGCGTGATCGAAATATTCCACCTGACAGTAGCTGACTGCTACCCAACTACGAGTAATAAACGCAGGAGAATGTCACAAATGCGTTTCTTTCCAAATTCATTGTTAGCAGAATAGCCCAGTCGAGTAGTATGCGCCGTCCATACTCTAGCCCAAGTTTTCAAACGACATCAAATTCTGGCCCGGCATCAATTTTGATCCCAATAAGTCCGTGTGTATCAGACACCCTTGCATTTGCATTTTGTATTGCTTTTTATTACTTATTATCTTCTAAGCTCTTATCAACGTGAATCACATCGCTCCAATAGCAAATTTGTAATAATCAAAATATTCAATTCCGCTTCAGCAGGTTTCGGACCTTAGAAATTCATTCCTAAATAATATATTTTTTCCGGTCAATGCCCTGACGGCAGTGCAAAAATTAACAGGCATCTGAAGAAGCGTGTGTTATTTGTGGTGCCCACGGTCTTCAATACCCACTTAACGAATGGGAAGTAAAATGTAAAAACAGTTACGAATGGAAACTTCTAGACCCATCCTTGTCAATCTAACTTCGCAGTGATTTGAACTTTCTAAATCTCCAAAGCGAGTGTCTTCATTCATTGAAAAATGCGCTTTGATATCTGTACAGAAGTAACGAAAAATGGTTAGTCTATCCAAGCCTGCCGTGGTGTAGTGGTAAGTGGTGCCACTTCTCACGCGCACATCCAATTGTTGTCGGATGGAATCTCACTCAGGCCAACCAAGCCTTCCATTCCTCCATCCCAGTATCACGGCACTAGACTTGCCCTGAAGGAGAAAAAAAAAAACACTGACTCATACATTGGCTAGACCTCCTAAGTCGCTGTGTGGATCTAGTGCAGTCTATGCCAGTACTATGGATGGAAAAAAAATCGTGGCGCAACCCACAAAAAAATTGATACATGCGCTCAAAAGCTAAAGCACCTCAAGGCCTGGTGATGAGGAACTTACCACTCCTCTGCTTGAAGTAGCAGATGTACTGTGACGACTATTGCATGGATACTGACTTTTTTAGGGAGGGAAATAATTGGGAGAAATTATAAAAACGCGTATTTTAGGTATCACCCATGTAATGACGTCATAGTACATTCGCCATTATGACCAAATAAGTTATACATGTGCCACCCCCGTGACCCGCCCCCCTCCGGACGTGGCTCTCGCAAGGGTAACTTTATACTTTGTCTATGGCTGAGGCAAATGCATGCGGGTACCTACGTGGGTATCGAAACCACCAAAAATTATATACCAGCCAATCGGTATACCAGGGCATTCCAAGCCAGGTTACGGTACACTCACCTGAATATTAT